GTATTTCAGGCGGCCTTTAATTGTTAATGTCTCCTCCCCATTAATCATCTACCATCAAGAAAGTTTACTAAGCTATTTCGGTTTAAAAAAATGCGCTTTATCTGCATAAGAGTTTTGCACAATTTATACTTGTTCCACGTCCAACCATATAAAAGAGAACCGATGAACCGATTACGATGAAATTTAGCAGATGGATTCTTTATCAAATTTGTAGGAAGTTCGTGAATTGGTTATATCGGCAAAACATAAGCACTGTCCTTTTGACATCTCCGTTAGTTATGCATCGAACTGCACGAATTTCAAAATATGGATAGCCTACACCATAAGATAGACAGTGCCAAAATTTGGGTTTGGTAGATTCAAAATTCACAATACCTTTTTGACTTCTTGGCCATTTATGAATCAATTTGAATTCCACCAGATTTATCTAATGGTGGGTACAATTGCAAAGGCAATAGGGAGGTTCGACATTTTTGGTATGTGTATTTTATTATTTTAACCAAAATCGAGAGATTTTGTTATTAAAAAATGATGGGAAAAAAATTGGGTGCAAAATATTGATATTTACGTCCGCTGTAAGCACTTTAAAATCAAGGGTCGGCGCGAAGAAAGAAAAAATACCTGTGCGCGAGAGTACCCCGTGTGACGTCAGTAGCCAGAAACATTTTGCAAATTGCATAATGTCGAATCTGCCCATTTGCGATTGAACAGAGCGTCAGAAGGCTCAGAACCGAGCTCAGAACTGAGTACCGACATAGGAAAGTAGGAAGTCTTGGACGAGATCTATCCGGTGGTGCGGTCAAAACTTCAAACGCGATGTGCGAGTGAACGGGACGTCGGAACTGGTTACCGATATAGGAACATAGGAAGTCCTTGAAGAGATCTATTCGGCGGTGGAGCCAAAACGCGATTTTCGGGTAAACGAATAGTCGGAAGTGGGTACCGACAAACGCAAACTGGATTGCGGGTGAATAATTCAAAATTCACATTGCCCTTTGGTTATATCCAGCATTTATGAATGCTTGTCACATAAAACCTCCTGCTAAATTTCAAGTCGATCAGTAAATTTCTATAATACGCATAGTAGGTAATCGAAATAGATTGCCAACCTGCTAAATGGATAAATCCGGTTGTATCTTGTATCTCAAATTTTTTTCACCGCGATCACGTTACTTTTTAGTGCATTTTTGAAGAATTAAAAAAAATGTTTCAAAACCCACTCGTGGGTGTTCCCGCGTAATACCTACAATTGTAAATGATGAGCAACGGGCAAATATAGACCATAGCAGATATCAATTAGCGAAAACCCGAAATCTCTAGGTGGCTCCAGTGGCCGAGATCTCGATGGAGCAGACAGACGACAGAGGACGGAAAATAGGCACATTTGTGTTACCTACGCTAAAACTACCCGTTTACTCCTCCCCACAATAATCATAATTACATAAAGTGCTTATAGGTCCCTTCCCTGAATACCCATGGGAAATTTGAAAGTCGAGTTGAGCGACCTACAAATAAGATTAAAAATTCAAGACTACGACAGAATTCGTTAAGATAAAAATCTCCAAACTGTTAAAAAATGCAACCGTGCAACTTTTAAGTAAACGCGAAATCAATGTTCCTTTACAAAGAGTTATGCGATGTTATTGTTGTTGAGAATTAAAATACAATCACGTTGATTTTAACATAATTGCGTAATTGTTATTACGAGATACCAAGGAATTTCTGCACTAGAAGCTCAATTTAGATTTACGAACTTTAGGCCTTCAACGATCTATCAGCGGCGAGATCAGCGGTTTTGCCATTCTGTCATCTAAACGTGTTCAATACAGTTTCAAATGGATTTAAATTAAATTTAAAAGGGTATATACATCGATTCGAGATATACATCTAATGAATCTAATTTTCTCTGGAATGTATCCAACTATTTACCTACCTACTTTCAGTGACTGCGGTTTGGAAATTTTTTAATTATGTCATACGTGCGCAAAAAGTTATATTTGTTTTATTTTTTCGTCTTTCCAAGTAGATATGTCGTTTGATGAAGGCAGGTATATTGAAATCTAAAGAAGTTCGTTATTGCCACTTGCCAGGGTTATTTCCAAATCCTTATTTTATCTTAAAATACCTAGATTTTAAATGTTGATGCATATCGCTTTTCCTTATCGCGCAAAATTTACAGAGTGGCCAGCAACGTGCTGTGTCAATCATTATAAAGGGTGTCCCAACGATAAGTCTGGGAAACTAACAGGAATATTATATTTTTGAAATGTGTACATGTGTTTCGGCTCGTGTTTCGGTTAAAATATTTTCTATTTTATATAAATTCGGAACTGAAGGATTTCGAGAACCCAATCGGAACGGTGAATTACCTGCCGCTATGAATACAGTACAGATCGAGGTACAAATAATGAAAAATTATCGATATTAAATCGATATTACACTGACATATCGATATTATGAATAGTAAAAGAACCACGACTGTGTGTTTTTATTTTCTAAAAAGCGATCGATTTCGGGTTATGAGTTATACCCATCATCAGGCCTGATGATGGTACTGGCAAAGAGCAAATAGAACGTCTGGGAAAAGGATACTCACAAATAGAAAATGGAATGTCATGTATCAAGAACTACAGTAATTATACTTATTATGACGAGTTTGGAATTAGATCGTTGAAAGGTAGCCTAGGTCAGCAAAGAGTAGCCATAACATCCTGAGAGAGCCGTAAGTCAACCCTGTTTTTTACTATTAAAATTTGGAGCGGACCGAGTGGACATAAAGTGTTTTCATACAAAAAATATTGGTCTCTGTTTAGGATTATCTAAAATTCCATTTTATGTAGTGGTTGATGATAATAATATATTACATTGCTAACATTTCATTTAGTGACATTGGGTGGGACATCAGGCGAAGCGCTTCCCCATACCTGAATTGTCTGATGAACGACTCGCTCAACTACCACTTCAAAGAAAGCGCTGCACCACTATACGAAGCGTCGGCGAGCGCTTTCTCTGGCTAGCTGTGTTTGAGTCTGCGTACTAAGTTGTTGGTTTACCGCGTAGAGTTCAAATTAAACCTAGCGACCTGTTCAGCAAAATCACGAGCGCTTTATAAACGCTGCAGTCTGCTGAACGCAGCCAGTGGCCCGTATGAATAAAGTGAGCAAAATACTTATACTTGCAAAATTCAAAGTAAATACTCGTAAGTGCCCCTTCATACTAGGTTTTGTTTAGTAGCGCTGCACTGCGTCCTGTCCTGCTGCTTAGCAGCGCTGCTAAGTCGCCCAGTGTGAAGGAGCACTTACGAGTATTTACTTTGAATTTTGCAAGTATAAGCATTTGCTCACTTTATTCATACGGGCAATGACTAAATATTGCAAAACGTTCTGTGTATAGTGTCATAATTTGACGTTTAATAATAATCAAGGGTAATATAACAAGACCTTGATAAATAGTCGACTATTTTGATTGCATCTAAATTTCGATTGTATTTTATAATAATTTAACGAGACATATTAATTTTGGCGTTAATAATCTGATGAAAGCCCGAGAGCGAAGCTCGAGGGCTTTCATCTATGATTATTAACGCCAAAATTATGTCGAGTCAAATTAATAAATACAAGAGAAATTTAGCAGCAATCAAAATAGTCGCTTATTAATCAAGGTCGTGTTATATTTATGAAGATTATTTCTTGAATCCAATTATTTATATCAGAGAGGGATATTCACAAAATGAAACAGTTGCAAAATATCAACAACAATCTACAAAATACAAACATAGGTATCAATTGACTGAATTGAATTCCACATACACTTTAAACTATATTCTTTATAACCTTATTCCCCATCTTCTTTTTTCATGTTCTAGTTCAAAATATCATTCAGTTTTGTGAATGGTGTTGATTCATTTAGTTCACATTGACGATGCTCTCAAAATTTGGTGAACTGCCTCCATACGCTATTTTTACTCCTCACTGTATTATGCGGGATTGTAGACTGGACCACACCACCATCATTTCTTCGCTTGTGGTTTCGCCAAAACGATTCAATTCAAAAACTTCAACAACACGATTTTGACGTTTAAGTTAAGTGCTGTCAGATGCACAAGCTGTCATGCTGATAGTCGGCTATCGTGCACCATGCAAAATAGTCGCTAATGTGTTGATTGGTTTCGTCAAACAGGAATCAAAAGTGTGATTGGTTGATAATTGACATTTAATAGACGAAAGAAATAATCATATATAATACCATAAGTAGTCGAAGTATTGTCGAATATTTTTGAGGTGCTGTCACGAATGCTAGTTACGCTGATTAATACCACGAGCGCTTGCGCGAGTGGTATTAAAAAGCGTAACTGCGCGAGTGGTATTAAAAAGCGTAACTAGCATGAGTGGAGCAGCAGCTCAAAAATAATCTACAAATACTTCGACTACGAATGGTATTCGGAGGACTATTCAACGAATCAAAAGAAAAATTAAGCATAATTACCCACGCGAATGTATTTCCATGACAACAACAAACGTCAAAATAAATTATGGAAGTTGCTTTTCATTTTGCTATTGATTCTATTCGAACTTTTGTGCTCCAAGCTAATTCGTTATGAGTGATTAAATTAAAAGATGTGGTGATAAGTCGGTTGTCGAAATTGATTAACAAACTAAGAAGAATGTTCCGGTTAATACGACAAAATTTCGCGTCATTTCACTGGTGGAAGTTTGACAAATGTCATTGAATAATCGCATTGAATTGAAATTGTCGCTGAAATACCACACGTGCAATTATCACTATAATTCGTTCCCATTGGCGCAGCAATTTGAAATCGAGACATTTCACTGGTTGAAATCTGACAAATGTTAGATGAATTGAATAGTCATATTTATTCCAATAAACTTTATTAATAATATTAATAAAATTCATTAACGTAAGCAGGTTTAAAGTCATTCGCATAAACTTAGTGTTGTTTATAATTTACTGGATTACTCAAATAGCCTTTTTTTTTGCAGGTGGAACCTGAGCTTATCAATGGTGCAGAAAGTTCAACTACAAGTACAGTCTCTGTAACCATCCCATTTGTTCCATTATCGGGAGTATTTTATTTGTGCGTTTCGAAAGGCAAGTCACCTAATGAAACATACCCATTCATTCATCAGGGAGACCAACCATGGCTTAAAGTGAAGCCGGTCGAGCAGATGATACCAACATGGGCTGCAATATTAATAATATGTATCTGTCTGTCATTTTCGGCACTGTTTTCTGGGCTAAACTTAGGTTTAATGTCATTAGATCGGACTGAATTAAAAATATTGTGTAACACTGGAACGCCACATGAACGTGCGTATGCTAAAGCCATTCAACCGGTTAGAAATCATGGAAATTTCTTGTTGTGCAGTATTCTGTTAGGAAACGTGTTTGTGAATTCCATTTTTACTATCCTATTGGATAGTTTAACATCGGGAGTTGTAGCTGTGATATGTTCCACTTTAGCAATCGTCGTATTTGGTGAAATAACTCCTCAAGCAATTTGTTCAAGACATGGCCTTGCTGTTGGGGCCAAAACAATTTTGATTACAAAGTTCATCATGGCCATTACAGCGCCGCTCTCTTATCCCATATCTAAGCTCTTGGATTATATTCTAGGTGAAGAAATCGGAAATGTGTATAACAGAGAACGCTTAAAGGAGTTGCTGAAGGTTAGTATTTATTTACTTTACTTATGACACAATGTAGGAAAGCAAAGTAGGGTACATATTTAGCGACCAGCTAGGTACGGATTTCTTCCATTTATCTGAATTTTGTGTACCGTTTTTGGAGTGTTCTACAAAATATTTCGTTTATAGGATAGCCCCCTTATAAGAATTTATTTTACATGTTTAAACCTATATTAAAGAAACGGTAGCAAGAAATTTGTCTGCTTAACGAAGATGTCCGTTTATTAGAGCTGTCCGGTTAGGGTAGCTTTCACTGTAGTCAGTTATGAAACTCCATTGCAGCAGATAATACAATCCAAGTAGGAAATAACTTTTTTGTCTAATTATAAGTTTATCAAGCACAGTTAAAATATAATTAAAATATTAATTATGATGAAATTCACGAGAGATAAGTAATTATTACTGTCCATCTAAAAGTAAAGGTTAACTAAGTGATATCAAATCTCTCTGTATCTGTATGCCTTCACCTAGGTACATCAATGTTCTTTGTTTATGGGTTGTCATTGCACCTTAAATATAAGTAGCCTCTAATCTGAGAGTCACTGTTTTATACAAAGAGCCTAAAGCTAGGCCCGAGGCTAGGCCTAAAGAGTTTTTTATACATAAAAGAAAACATATTCAACACTAATAAGTGTGAAACTACCCGAAAGATAGGCGCAATATGTCGCTGTGCGTATTATTTGACACTGTAGTGCCTATTTAATACAGATATTTCACAAAGTGCCAACCGCTATTACTCATTACTCATTATTAGGTACCGCCTATAATTTCCATGAATAAATAGGTTCTGATGGTAGGACTATACAGATAATACTTTCTCAGGAGACTCAAGATTGTAACATAGTTTTTCAAGAAGGAAGAGCAAATTTGGTAGAAATTTTTTGAAATGACTAAAATATTGAAATATCATTTCTTTTTGTTTATTCGTCTTTTAAAAGTCTGAATGGGGGGGGGGGGAAATGGCGGATTACGCTCCTCGACCGCCTATTATTACCCCAGGGATATAAACCGCAGGTACTCAGTTTTAGAGACCGAGTCCAATGTTTTCGGCAGAACCAGGAATCAAACCAGGGTTCTCGAGCGTCGTAGAGTATAGTGCCCTAACCACTGGACCGCTTTCTCATCTAACAGAAGGTGTGACTTTTGACCTGGTCCTATCAGGATATCTTCGGCGTTCTTCTCGCGCATGAAGCATGGTTAAGATTTCCTGGATAAGGTGTTGCGTGTCTTTCATTCAGTGCTATATTATTGTGATTGGTAATAACCAATATTATTCTTAAATATCTATTGTTCACATAATTTGAAATTTGTCAAGAACTCTGCGAAGTCATCACCAGGAGGCAAGCGACCGTTAAAGCTTCACCTTGATCTACCTTTTAAGGTCACAACCATGCGCCAAGCGACCTTGGACTGGTCCAGAACCGGTCCTATATGGTGGTGACCTTTGAGCTTCACCTCTACTTCCTTCCCAAAGTCACCGCCAGGTAGAGAGCGACCTTGAACTGGTCCAGAACCGGACCTATATGATTACTCTTACGGTTTCCCCCTGAACTTAGAAAGATGTATCAGCAGTGTTATTTTCTTGTGTTAATTTTCAGTATATCATGTGTGATGGAGTAGTATTCCAATTTGAAAGCGTTATCCTTATCTCAACATAAGGATTTTCAGTGGTCTTCATTGTTGAACAGTTTCATAACTTTGTATGCGGATATCGTTTTGGTCTCAAACAGATAATAAACTATTACAATGGAATGATAGTTATTTCTTATATAAGACAGTAAAGGGATATTTTAACCATTGAGTGAGTTAACTTTCACGAGATGGCTAGTTTCCATTTATCATCGTGTATAACACAAAGTTCATTTTATAGCAGAAGCCATATAAATCATTGTATTTATTCTTTTCTTGGTATAAAAATGATCAAAGTATTATTGTATTGTTTTATTCTCAGACTATTACTATCAATTAGAAAATGGGTAATTAGAATTAATGTGAGGGCAGATGTTAAACAGATCTAAACGTTTTTAAGTACAAGGAATGGATACTAATTGATTTTAATTAATCATTTTCGAGATCATTTTACTGTGCTGTTTTGAGTATTTTACAATGTAGTTCTTAAAATACACGTATTGATTTTTGTGTTAATATCATATTTTAAGACACTTGCTGATGTGTTTAATTTACCTATACCGATCATGTTCTACGACAATAAATGTAGGCCATATTTCGCAAAATCTTTTAAAAGGGTATTAGCAACAGGCATTAATAGAAATACCCTTCAGGAAACTCCCTCTTTCAACGGCAATTTCATGTTTCGAGAATTTTGAATTTGGACACCTTGTCCTTTAGATTTCCCTAACATTAACTAAGAACGGCACCTCCTATTGTAGCTATAATTTGTTATACTTTTATTTGGAAAATGTGTCGTTTATTTGGATCATCGTTTTCTATTCCATATTATGCAGTTTAATTTAATTTAATAAAAAATTCTGATTTTGATTTTTTCTCAAAAATCAGCATTTTTACTCGCAGTTTTTAGCAACACTGATTGAAATCAGTGGGAAATTAAAGGATTGTTTATGAAAAATATAAAGGAACTCGCACAATCTATTTTTTAGACTAAGCAGCTAAGAGACTGCCTCGGAGACTGCCTATACTGGAATTTGCGACTTATCATTATCGTTTTTGCAATATTAATTTAACGTCCACATCAAAACAAATGTACTTGTATTACTAACAATGCTATCGGTCTAGCATAAAATTTTAATTATAAATAGGCTTGGAAGTATTTAATCATGTGTTTTCGTAAAACAACTCATTGTCTTATTAGTTATTACCTACATAATGGTTACGACCGCTAATTAAATGTTAGGTTCATGTAGTTGCCCAAAATAGCCTCAGGATTTTTATGTAATGGGTTATTCGGTTTTACATAAAGTGAGGTTCAGTTGTATCGAGGTTTCCATTATTTTAACATATAATTTCATTAATTAGCAAAACTTATTTTATAAGAGAATCATGCGTAACATTTTATTTAACCTTTCCGTACAAGAGCGGGGAATTTTTTCGCTTTAACTTTTCTGTCGTGACTTAAATGGCATTGTCCTTCTAGGTAATCCTTGCTCGGTCAATTTTACGTGATATATCTCATTTTAAGAAAATTAGCGTTAAATTACCTAAACTAAATGAAGTTATAACCATCGGGGTAGGTAGGTTATCCCACCTCGGTTCCTGTGATACTTAATTTACGCGCAGTTGTATATATTGTAAGTCACTGCATGTCGAGAGTTGCATAAAGGTGGTTAGGTTTGTGATTGATTGTTAGTTGGATTTTGTGTTTTTCGCACAGTGGATGCTGTAAACTTTTAGTTTATTATGGCCAGAAAATATCTCACAGAAAACGACCTATGCGAGAACTCGCTGAGAACATGGAAAATTTGGATAGTCATTACTAGTATGTTTGTTTTTGACTTACTAGTGTGACTAAAGAGTTAATAAACTGCCCCAATACAGACAACGGGCGACAAGCCCACTTCCAACGAGTATTGACAAACATTGAATCAGTTAGAGCATTATTGACCTATTACTGAAAACAGAATTGGAAAATTTTAAACCGTTTGCGTTATCATGTACGCAGATGGACGAATGGACGGACAGAAAGTCCAAAATCATGAACTTATTGTCGCCCGTTACAAAAATGTAAACAGAAAAGAAATAAAACCCCTTTAGTTGGTAACAGACAAAATTTGAGCTGGGGTAACTGCATTACGCCCCTACGATGCGTACGTGATTTTTTAAAACACCGCGCCAGGAGGGTTAGTGACTACACACAAAGCTTATCTGTTAGGTGATTTAAATAAATATTCATCATTCATTATTATTAATTATTCAGAAATTAGCGACGCTTTTTCAGAAGGAAAGTAATCATGATCACCAATTCATTAATTAAAGTGGAGGTTGTGTGAAGATGAAGTCTAGATTGAAGTTGTCCTTATTTTTTAGAACAGTGAATCGTCGCCAAATGTTAGAATATGCAAATGCATTAAAGTTAATATTATGATAACTGATATATGACCGAATAACTTATTTACCTGATGACCGAACTTTCTTATAGAAGAAAACGAATGACGTCACATTTATGTTAACGAAATGAAGGGAACTTGCTAATAGAATAATTATTTTTGATTATGTGTTCATATTACTTAGATGTTCTATTTTCAGGTAACAACAGGCGAAAATGATTTAGATAGAGATGAAGTCAATATAATTAGTGGGGCTTTGGAGCTTCGGAAAAAAACTGTGGCCGAGGTAATGACTCGTATTGAAGATGTTTTTATGTTGGACCACGATGCAGTATTGAACTTTGAAACTGTTTCCGAAATTATGAAATCAGGTGAAGTTTTTAAATTTTGCTGAACAACAGCAACATAACGATTAAATACTAAATCGTAATAGTTAGAGGCCAGTGGCGGCTAATGGTCACTCTTGATTAGATGAAAATGTCTCCTCACCCTTCCATTCACTTTCAATAAATATCACATTTAACTCTGTAAATTGAGTGGCAATGAATACAGTGTATACTTAAGATAAAGCCGCCACTGAACATTATGACTCATATGATATACTTCTGACAATAAGTAAAGAAAACTCAATCGACCCACAAGTAGAAATCGAAAAGGCCAACTACTTCTGCTGTTTAAATTACATTTTCTTGTTAGGTTACTCGAGGATTCCTGTATATGAAGGAAATAGAGGCAACATTGTTACAATGTTGTATATAAAGGACTTGGCCTTTGTCGATCCTGATGATAACACACCTCTACGGACTTTATGTCAGTTTTACCAGAATCCTTGTAACTTCATTTTCGAGGATGTTACTTTAGACACCATGTTCAAAACATTCAAAGAAGGTAAGTGAGGTAAGAAATTTATTGTCTTAATTTTTTTATGTTCACATATTTCACAAGTTAGATTATACCTTTATGGTGCATATTAAACACCTTATCTACAAACTGACTTTAACTGTAACTGTGTAGAGTGCATAACTTACTTAGTCGATCAGTTTGGTATGCTGTACTGGTGCCATGTAAGTATCTCTAAAATAGGGGTTCGATTGACTGCGCCAGTGCAGGGTACCAAACAGATCTTGTATCATTTAACGCACTAGTTGTCAGAGAAAGAACGTTTCAAGGTCGAATGCGCACTAGTCCTTTTTCAAATATTTTAAGCACTGTAATTCAGTAGCGTACAAACTGAAAGCATCATAATACATTTACGGGAAGATAACAGCATAGACGAGGAATTTAGTGATTAGTCTTACTTAGTAAACGTATACAGTGAGTTTTTTTTTAAATACGAACATAGGATTTTGTATGTAATGTAATTTCCCTATGTTCGATTTTAAGAAAACGCATAAGTATTTTGTTTAAATTAAATTGGACGCCGGTATTTTAAAAAATGTGACAGCTATCGATTTTATCTACTACTCATTTGAACTACTCAATAGATTGATGCGTTTTTTTTAATCGAACATAGGGAAATTACATTGCATACAAAATCCTACGTTCGCATTTAAAAAAAAATCACTGTATATCTTAGAGATGTAAAAATGTGTATTATAACTTATTATTACAATAAAAAATAACATAAGTACACATTTTTTCTATAATTTACGCCACCGCTGGTAAATAATTTGAAGCTATTAAAGTACATGATCATTGCCAACCGTGTGACGTCATCTGCGCAACCCGAAACGTCCTTTCTCCATGGCAGCTGTATAGTGGCCTACTTCTTAGTGTGGTATAGTGTGTGTGAAGATTCATTTCTTAAATGACACCATTCTAGTGGTTTCAGCACTTATGATCGGAATTTAAGTAGATAATTAGTGCTTCATATTTCGTATTAGCGCGATATTTTTGGGGGCTGGTTTTTGGAACAGGTGTAGATCCAAAATACGAGAGTTGAGCGTAGGTATGAGTGGGAGCGAGCGAAGTCACGCAAGTCACTTCATACTCTCCCCACAACCAAGACTTAGGGTTGGGAGAATAAATTGCCCAGATCACCTTGTTTACAGTTGCAACTGTAAGTGGACGAGCCGGCTCTGGACCATAAAACACCTGTCTTGTGGCCTGTCAGGTTAACTCATCACCTTACTCATTACATCATCATTCCCTATGACCCATCTGAACTTAAGGGTGTTGCTGCTTGCTACTTACTCAAGTGCATGGTGATATTCGGAAACCAACCTAGAGGTAATTTTACAGTCACCAAGTGCCTGTAGGGCAGCCCTGCTGTCAATGCAGATTCTGATGCATATGAACTTTTTTTGCACTAAGCGTTAATCCTACCAACTCTGACTGGAATACAGTAGGAAGTTTGCGTAGTGGTTGGGTGACACGGAAGTTCAGTTCTTTGGAATAAATACCATACCTTCCATTCATGAGATGAATTGGGATACCACATCTTCATCAGTTCATCAAGAAAGATGTGATAGTCTTTCCCTCATACGAATTGAGGAGTGTGATAACCCTTTTGCATGGCTTCCTTGCAGTTAATTTCAAATGAAATTTCATGATCTGACACTTCTGGATGGACTTGCCAGTGCCACAGGTGTGGCAGCAGGAGAGCTTTAAGGTGGATGGGAACATAAATACATGTTCTAGGTTTTTATTGCTGTATGTTTGACGTTTCTGGTACATCACAGGATTGAATACCTGTCTATCGTTTATCTGCCATCGCCAGAGCTCATCCCAGTTCGTCATCGCTGATCACAGGTTGTCATGGCAGCCTGGGCGGATGCTTCCGTAGCTTCTTGCAGTTGCCTCTTACAAATTTGCATTCTTTTTTTTTTTACAATCCTATTCTTATTAGTATGGTCATATCAGGAATTTACAAAAAAAAATCTAGAGTAAGGTTAAGTTTAATTTCGTAAATGGGTATGATAAATCAAATGTATACAACTATACAGTACAGTTAAAGTAGTTTTTTTTTGCCTTAAAATATATTCTTGTTGATATTTGAAGAAACTCCTTTATAGGTAATAAAGGTCATATGGCATTTGTTCAGCGTGTGAATAGTGAAGGAGAATTAGATCCTTTCTACGAAACAATTGGGTTAATTACATTAGAAGATGTTATTGAGGAACTAATTCAAGCCGAAATTATGGATGAAACCGATGTATTCAGTAAGTACTTCAGTATTTTTGGAGAGTGTTTTAAAGACTTCACGTTTTCAGCTGATAATCGTTCAAAAAGGAGAAGAAACGCGAATAGAACTAAGCAAGATTTTACCGTGTTTGCGGAACGGCGTGCTGATAACAAGGTGCGAATAAGTCCACAGTTAACATTGGCAACGTTCCAATATCTTAGTACAAGTATGTATTATATTGTCTGAAAATGTAAAATGTGTTAACCTAACGCTTCTTGCAGGTGTGAAATTATTTAAGGAAGATGTAATATCGGAAACGATATTACGTAGGTTATTAAAGCAAGAAATAATGTTTCACATAAAGAAAACTAAGGATTGGCGCAATGATCCGACAATGCTAATCTATCAGCAAGGGAAAGCATGTGATTATTTTGTACTTATCCTTGAAGGAAGGGTTGAAGTGACTGTCGGTCGTGATAATATGGTTTTTGAAAGTGGGCCATTTACTTATTTTGGGGTGCAAGCACTTGTTCAAAATATTGCTGTTGGTAAGATTTTTGAGTAAGTGATAGTTATTTTTAGTAATGTAATTTAATGGTAGCTGACTCACCATCGGCACCTTCAACTTTAGGAAGTTTACAGTCACTAAATATGGATGCCATGTTACGACACACATTTTTACCAGATTACACTGTGAGAGCATCCACAGATGTTTTGTATATGCGCATAAAGCGTAGTTTATACTTGGCCGCAAAACGAGCCACATTAATGGAACGTTCACAGAAGGATACAATACCAACGGGTCCCAGTGATCAATTTGATGATGAAGTGGAGAAGGTATATTTTATTTCTAAATTACCCTTAACATATTCGACCCCATTTTTAGTATGTGGATACACTTGCAGGGAATTATAATTTATCAGGCACTCCTCTTCCTGTTACAAATCCTTGGGTAAATATTTACCATTTTACTCAAGGTCTCTCCAATCCTTAATTTTAGTTAATTTCCTATCCCACTGCTAGAGTTCGTAACAATTCTGGACCACCTGCATGTAACTAACTTTGAGAATATTGGTTATGGGAAATATATTTTATTTGAAAGCCGATGGGAAAATAAGTACAAGAGTGTTATGTGGATATTCAATTTTTAGGTGTTTCATAAAACTTTAAGGGCAGCTTAATAAAAATACATATACACACTGTTCATTTCCTAACATCCCCACACACATTTTGCATTACAGGTGAATCTTTGACTGATTTGTCCGGGTGAAGGAAGATAGATTACAACCGTATAACTTGCGGAATTTGGCCATGTAGAAAATTGCGCTTAATTTTTGGAAAAGAGGATGCATGCAGAAGTTTTAATTTCATGGAGTATAAGTGCAGAAAGTAGTGCGGTTCATTCAGAGCACAGCATGTTGCCATTGTGTTCCAATGTGAACAATATTTACAGACGAGTTGTATTAATCAACAACGATAAAAATGTGAAAAACAGTTACAGGCTACCCGCTAGACGAATGCGCATTGAGCGGCAAATGCAAATATACCCAATGGCGGCAATACTGGTAGAAATTTTAGCCAATGGTGGCTGACAAACATGTATATGAGTCGTAGTTGCTAGGAGACGGTTGCGCGCTAGAGCTTTAGCTTAACGTGGGTCGCCTGTAAACAAGTTTAAAAACAAAAGAACATTAGAAAAATGAGTTTGATTATATTGTAAAAATGATAGCATGCCACTTCATTAGGTGCTGTTGCATGTATCACACAGCTATAATTGCTGCAGTAGTTCTAGTTTCTGTAGCAATTATTACCACCCATTAATGGCGGTGTTCCATTCCTAAATGTATCATTACAAGCAAAAACTCTAGATTGAGCACCAAAATTTTGATGCAAGTGATATCAGTTTTAAGTTTTATTTTTAATTCCTAAAGTTGATCAGTTAGAATGTGACATTGAAATATTATGTGAGAGAAAGTTTTATAAATAAACTGCCCCTTTCAGTGCATGTAACACTAGAGCATTAGGGGTTTCTAAAGAATTGGTTATATGTTTGTAATTGTTGTTATTTAATTCATTTCCATTCTTTTACCATTTCTTCTAATTTTGTTTATTAGCCAATCTAGATTTTTTAAAAACTTTACTCTCATCTTTTTCAAAGACAAACTTTAATTGAAACAGTCATGGGATTAACAAAAAATGTTGTCACAACCGTTTACTTGAAACTTGAAACTTTGACATATGCCTGGCGTCGCCGCCTCTCCCAGGATTTAGTCAACTGTCGTGAGGATGCGTCCCTAGTAGACACTATCAGGGACGTTTCTCCACTACTTTGTTGCCATCGCGCTGGGCCGCGACATATGCCAAACAATGTGGTGGATTTTGTGGATTGGGGGGGTTGTGGGGGGGGCGGCTAACTGGGTGTTATCCGACCCGAACGGGTACGGCCACAGCTTCGCCACTGGTATTCTGCCTTAGAGGGAACTCTGCTTTCTAGTGATAGCTTTTTCTCCGGGCGTTCATTGGCTTCCGATGTTCCTATCCTTTGGTCTCGTTCCCTTCCCTGTTTTCCCTCGTGTTAGGCTCTTTTTATTGTTGTCCTCTCCCTGCATTACTTTCTGTCCCCTTTTCCTCCTCCCCTTGGCTACTTGTCCTTGTGGCTGATTATTCCTCCACCTCCAGTATTCTTCTGCTTTCTTTCTTCCTTTGATGTTTGTCTCTGCTATTCTCTTCCCATCTTCCCATGGTAATCCCCGAGACCTCTACCGTTTGGTTTATGGTGGTGTTCCATGTTTGGCAGGGTCGGCCTACCTTCCATTCCGTGGCACATAGAATCTTGGCAGCCCGAATGATATGGTCTTTGTTCCTCCTGTTGGTATGTCCCGAGTATCTCATCTTCAGTCTCCTGGCAATCGTCTTTCCCTCTAATAGTTCTCTTCTCTGCTTTCTTGTGAGGTTGCTGTTTTCTTCAGTATCCTGAGTGCCTTCCACTCTGCCCTCCTCAATGTTCGTCTGTTGCTCTTTGTTGGCGCTGAAGTGTTAATTCCGTATAAGATTGTCGGTGCTACGATCGTGTTGTAAATCATCATTTCAAGCTGTCCGGTATTTTCTTCGCTCGTATGAAGTTCCAGATTCCGTGTGTGATTCTGAATGCGTTGGTTATTCTGTCTTTCACTGCGTTGTGCCTGCTGAGGGTGCTGCTTATGTACATACGTTCCCATATATTTGATCTTGTGTGGTTATCTCCTTCCCGGCTATGGTCTTCTCTCCTTCTTTGTACTGGGGGTGTTGTTTGCTGGCACTCTTGTCATCATGTAGCTCTTTTCGTTGTATATTTGTAGGTCCACCATTTCCTGGTGTACCTGGTATCCCGATGGCCTGGACGAAGTCCTCAGTGTCTTATAAATTATCCGCGATTACGAGTAGATCGTCCGCGTACGCCAGTAATGTCGGTAGTTGTAATTGGTCGCCTATGCTAAGGTTCCTCACCACCATCCTTGTTTGTTCTATAGCGTGGTCTAGTGCTATCGCGAAGAGCCTTGGGGAAACGGACATCCTTGTTTGATCCCCCTGGTTTTCTTTTGGTGTTCGGTTTTCTTCCAAAACCATTGTATACTAGTATACTCCCTTTGCCACGCGTGTATGGTTCTGTTGATTAGGAATTTGGGTAGTCCCAGCATCGCCCACGCTGTCATTGGTATATATTTTCTGTTTCCCCCTTGTTTCCTCCTTTTATATTTTCTGATGTGCCTATACCATTACATTTCCGTATTCCTCTCCATTGGTCTGAGTTTGGTGATGTTCTCCGCGAACTCGGCGAATTCCTTGATTTCGTGTTGCTCATAGGCTCTGTTTTCTTCTTCCTTGGCTTCCCTTAGCTTCTTCTTTGTTTCAGGTTAGTGTGGGTTTTGGCCCGCTTTCTGTTCGGTCACATGGGCGGTTTCTGTTTCCCTAGTGTTTTCCTTGTTGCTTCTTTGATCGTTTCGCCGATCTTTTTCCATATGGTATCCCATCCCCTTTTTGCTTCTAATCTTTTACCACTGCTTTCGGTACTCCTTTCTTTTCTTCTCCCCTGACAGAAGTTTCACATTCCGCCCTTCGGTTTCCCCGTTCTCCTATCAATTGTGGGTAGAAATCTTCCAGGTTTTCCCTGATGTATGCGTTGATTTCTTTTTTAATCATTTGGTTAATTTCCTGTGAGGCTCTGATGTCACTGGCAGTCGCCTCAGTGGTGCGCAATCGCTCCAAACAGGCAGTCCCCATCCTTATTTATACTTGTATTCTTTTGATCGCACTTCTATTTGATCGCTGTTACGAGTACTTGTCTTTAAGGCCTTAATCCTGGTTTGGGTGGTGGGTGCTGTTTATTGATCGCTAAAAGAGATACCTAGGAGAGATAATTTAGTTAATTTAATTGTTAAGTCACCGAGACGTGCCCCTTCATTCTATCTTTGACCGCCCCGTATATTCTATTGTGTCTGGGAGACTCTAAACTAAAGGTACTAACGAAAGTAAAAAGCGCAAAAAAAACAGGAAAAAAAAGCCGCTGTAATTTGGTAAGAAAGGTTTCCTTTTTTTTGTCAATCATGCCTATTAGACCGAAATTTGAGAGCTTAAATATTGTAATTTATGGCTTAGTTTCTTTATATGTCTCCGGTTGACAAGTTTATATTTCCTTTCCCAAGGGTCAATTTGTTCCACCCCGATTCGAAGTAGGTATATTCAATGTAGCTCCCAGTGACTTGCGCCTCTCTATTCTATCTTTTCCCCTTTGTTCACTTTTAAATTAAATTTAGCCTTAATTCTAAGTAAGTGAGTAAGTAAGCAAGTAAGCACTTATCTTAGCTTTACGTTCTTGTTTGTCCTGTTGATTGGAGGTTCCTGCCCTGTCTTCTCACGATTTAATTAGTCTCGCGCGTTATGAATCTTGAGATTAAACTTAAAACTGTAAAAATTCGTAAAATCTCAGCCACTGGACCGATTTCGATGAAATAAGCACTAAACAATTGCAAATTTTGTACGCTACCGACATACATTTTTAAACCTATACAAACACAAAAAACCACTAAAAAAGGCCGGAGCTCGCTCAAAACACGTCCGCTCGCCATGAAAGACGAACTTCTCCTCCTTGTCACAACGGTTTACTGTCGAAAAAATTGAACCAATCAAAATTGTCAACAACTCACGTAGTCCAGGGAATAGAGATTTTGAACTGGCAAAATGAGAAGTAGTTCCAAATAGTTCTTGCATGTCATAGAGTCATCTGTGGTGGTTAAGAATCTCTAGTTTTTGACCTCCCACACCTTATGGTTCCACCTTGCCACCTCTAAAACCCCAGAAATTTGCTTGGTTTGTTAGTTTTTCAATGGGTACTTGTTTAAAGGTTCACTTTACAAACAAATGTTATGAGAATGAAATTTTACACAAATTTGATATATACTTTTTTGTGAAATTTTTACCAAAAAAGATATAGAGCTTCAAAGTTGCTTATATTTTGAAGAATTCTGACATTTCTATGTATTTCAACGAAATTTTATATCTTATCAATTTTTTATAATTAAAAGTTGCATGAGAAAATATCTTGAACTTATCATGTGATAAATCCCCCCCCCCCCCACTTGCATCCCTACCAAAGGGGATAGATAATAATTCAACTTTCAACTCCCTAGTGACGATATTTGAATCACTGTTAGATTGTACCGCTTTCTAATATACGTTTGAAATTAAAAAATTGTCTCACTTCAGTTTAACCCATCTATCCCCGACTCACTACTACAGGGGATGAATATTTCAACGCCATAGTGGCGATTGATATGTTACTCGGAGAGTACAGTGCTCATTAATTATATTTTTTCATCCTCTCGTTCCAGTCTAACCATTTCCACCTCCTACTTAAATGAACGGGTTAACCCTCAGGTGTTGATTGCTCGATCCCACTTAGATAACTCAATTTTTGAATACCAATTCCAATTAAAAGTATTGTTGTCTGCAGTGGTATGCGGTCACTACCCCACCCACAAAACACCTGTCCAGCTAGCTCAAAACAATTCAAAATTGAAACTTAGAATGTTATAATTTCTCCTTGTATACATCTGGCATCTGCTATAAGAAAAATCCCAATATTAACTTAAAATTTCTCAATTTGAGAGACTTAGTGGCCTCGACCGAAAATTCCAAAGAATTTATTACAAAACTGACAAAACACCTGAAATAAATCTTGGACACGAATAAAAAAATCTGACAATTATCCGGGTCGCACAATGGATTTGAATACACATAATTCACAATGACAGCAATATTCCGAAACGCAATTAAAACTGAATCCCTGCAAGAAAAAAATGCTCATAAAGCTTGTTTGGACATATTACGCGGGCAGTTTCTGAACTTCACTTTTCTTTATAACACAGAATTAGATGACAAATAAAATTGGCCTTGATAAATAAGGTGAACAAATTTTCGGCTGTTCAGATGGTAGAACCTTTTAACTTTTAATAAGAAGAGAACTTTAATGGAAAGGCCTCGCTGTACTGGTTCTTTTTTCAAGTCGACAAAACTTTTTCTGAAATCGGGCAACACACGCTAAACTTCTCTTCGATGCTTGGATGCTTAACCAGATGAACCCCTATGACATGCAAATGCTGTGCAGAGATTATGGTCATCTCTAGCTCTGTGCTTTGGTCTTACACCTACGTTATATGACAGTCTAAAAGATCTCCCCGCCCTCGTTTTTAAGCAGAAACTCCGCGAGTTCTTAATATTACAACAGGTTTCTTCTAATATCTAAACATGTGTGCTACTTTTAAGTTGTTTTTTAGTTGTTTCTTTTCTTTAAACTATGAATTAGTATATTTTCAACGATCACCGAATAAGATAGATTGAGGCAATTTTTCGTTAGGATAGGTATTAAATTTATAAGTTTTTGTTTGTTCTGTCAAGGTTTAAGTGGTAGAACAGGATACAAAGATAATCTTTGTATATCTGA